GCAATCCAAGCGCGTGTACAACCGCCGTATAATCAAGTGACGTCTCCCGCGAGTCAACCTCAATTAATTACACAAGGCGTTCGAGAAAATAATCCATCCATACTCAGTAGTAAACATACATAACAACATCACATTTAAACCAATGAATAGCGGAAATATTCAACGGTAAGTCATAAGCCACAACCGGCCAACAACATGGGCATGCAAACCCCAAAAATAGTTTATAGTAATTCAAATATCCATGAGCAAGTGTTCGGTAGTTTGAAAGAAAATAAGGAAGCACGAACCACGTCTTCCTGAGTCGATATCACCCGTAAGAAAGGTGCAAGTAGCAATCCCTAGCTTCAACCTGAAAATGGTGCCCCCCCCCCCCTTCGAAGGGGTCAGTACAAGTACCGAGTGAGTAGCAGGCTAAATATAGAATAACTAGCGTTTCAAGTATAAGACCCAAACATAGGGTGATACTTATATATATAGTCTTTCCCCCAAGTTATGAAATACTTATTAGTATATATATACTTAGAAAATATCCGATCCGTAGATCACTGTTTTATTTGGAAGAATAGTAATAGTCAATATTCTTGACTAAAAACCCCAACCCACCCATATACCTATGAGTGTATAGGACTCCTCCTTGTCCCTATTTCAATATCATAATCTATGAGTTTTGAGGATCATGATCCTTGGGTACTCCACGAATTTATATCTGAGTGTTAAGGACATTTAGTCTAGGGTCCTCCACCAAGTTTTTGAGTGTTAAGGACTTTTAAGTCCTAGGGTCCTCCACCAAGTTTGAGTGTTAAGGACTTTTAAGTCCTAGGGTCCTCCACCAAGTTTGAGTGTTAAGGACTTTTAAGTCCTAGGGTCCTCCACCAAGTTTGAGTGTTAAGGACTTTAAGTCTTAGGGTCCTCCACCAAGTTTGAGTGTTAAGGACTTTAAGTCCTAGGGTCCTCCACCAAGTTTGAGTGTTAAGGACTTTTAAGTCCTAGGGTCCTCCACCAAGTTTTGAGTGTTAAGTACTTTGAAGTACTAGGGTCCTCCACCAAAATATTTCCCTATGATCAATCTCCTATCAACCTAGATAGAGTCTACATCATACTTGGTCATTCATAACTAATTCAATACATAAAGCTTATGTATCACAATCCATGCAAAGCCATGCAATTATATAAATGTATGATTAACTAATATCAACCGATATTAATTAATCCATTATCCACCGGTCAACGTTGTCGTTGACCGCCATTTCAAGTCTTACACTTATTAACTTAATCATCATATAATTAAGTTAAAAATATTCATTGGTGCTTCTTTTACACTTCAAGCAAATATACCTTTTATATAATTTCTCATATCATATTCCATGTATAACAATTAACTCCTTTCATGCAACTTAACCCTATTGACTAATCACATGTTTAAATATCTTTTAAACATCATTATGAACACATATAACATTCATTTAGGTAATCTCATAATTAACCCAAACGTTATAAGATATTAAGCCGTCCACTCACCTTGAACTAGCGTTATGAAGTTCTACCCTTCTTGGTTGAGCTCCGGTGAAACTCCGGCGACTTTTGGTCAACTCCGGCGACAACTCCGGTGAATTTTCCAACTTTGTGAAATCACTTGAAATACCCTTTACAAGTGCCTAACAAGGTTTTATAATCATAAAACCCATATTAATACAAATAATCTCTAAAAGGCTATTTTCCGGTGAACCGGTCGTTTTGGCTTCTACGTCCGTTCTTAGACGTAGAACCATCTTCCAACCCATAAATCCATACTTATAACATGTGGAACCATACCAAGGGTCCTTCACATGATATATATTTCATATGATAATCAAAAGAGTAGGGAAAAGTGGTTATAAGGTCATTACCTTAATTATTCACACCTTTTCTTCACTTTTTCTCCCTTAAACTACTTCCTTCCTCTTGTTTGAGCTTTGGATCGAGTTCAGCTATGGGAGATGGGATTTCAGGGCTCTCTCCTCTCCTTTCCTTGGGGGCTGGCCGAAATAATGAGTGGGGGAAAAGAGAGAGATGTCCTTTTTGTTCCATTTGACAAATAGGTGTGGAAAAGGGGTCCATTGGATGTCAATGGTGTCTCCCCCATCCTTTCATGTATCCTTCGGCCATTTTAGCACTCATTCAACCCACATTGGTTGACAATTTCGTGGGGTGGCCCCCACCCATGTGGGAGGTCATCCCCTTTTGTCCCGAAGTGTACAATTTGCCCCGAAAGTTGTATTTTTCAGACTTTTTTAAATATATTTTATTTTATCGGGTAAAATAAAATATATTATGTGTTCTCACTCATAACGCCCCTTTGAAATAATATATATCCCAAAAAACTTTAATTTGGAAGTCTCCGAAATTCATTTCTGGGCTGCTATCTGTTAAATTGTCGGTACCGGTAATTGGGCTTCTTTTGACCAATCGGTCAACCCCAGGCCTTCCCATGGCCTAAATAAGATATCCATACAATAAAAATATTATCCCGACCCATAAGAATAATTTATGTGATCTCGGGGAATATCGGGCGGCCCCCGCTCCCGGTGTGGGTCAACAAGAATAGTCTGCGGTAATCGTCTTTGGTTCAGTTGCGTCCATTAATGGATTAACGAGTTATATTGCTTCTATTGAGGTATTAACTCTGAGTCTAATTGACAGCGGTCTTTTTTGTCTATTTAGCCCATGTCTGAATACTGTGATATCAAGGTATCATTATGCATTTCAACCAGATCCAAGCACTTTATATACTAGTCTAGGACCTCAATATTGTTCTAAATGGCCCTATTTTACAAGTGCCGTCTTTTTTTCAAAGTAAAAAATGGCAAGAAAAGGTTCATCCTTAAATTCCTTCCTTGCACACGTACAGTCACTTTCAATGATAGTTTAAGTCATGCAATTGCATGTTTGGCAATTATGTAACGGAATGCGTCATCAATTATAAGTAGGGTATAATAGAAGCAATGTTGTTGTAGAAAAATGGCTGCTGCATGTACCCAGTATACTATCGTATTTAAATATGATGCTTTTCATTATATATATTGTATTTCTCATCCTATTCACAAATGGGAATATTATTAATTATTATTTCCAAATACATTGATATATATATATAGTTCATACACTCCTAAATAAACTTCACACTTTTCTTTTTGAATAGGTCAAAAATAAACTTCACATCACTTCTATTTTTGGCAAGTTTTTAATATAAAGTTATCCTTACATCCCTACTTTATTACCTACTTTAGTCTCATTTTCTCTTTCCGACTATACTTTATCTCCTACGATAGTATTTGTAAGGGTATGATGGGAAATTGAAAAACAAAAAAAAAAAACAATTTCTTAAAATCGTAAAGTAAAACTTTGAAGTTTATTTAAAACAGAGTATATAATACGATTCCTAAGAGACGGTATGATGCACTCTATATATGGTCTAATTCTCCTGTACATTCCTCTCAATTAACTTGCTCTGCTTTATACTCATTATAGCCAAGTTACCACAACCTTTGTAAGCCCTTCTACTTTTGCTCTTATTTAGGATCAATTCAAACGCTATTTATTTATCACATATAGCAAAGTTCTGTTACTATATATCCTCTAATTAAATTATGAAAACCTTCTTCATGATGTTCTATTTTTCATTCTTCTTTGTTAGCAACCAATGGTTGATCATATACTATCCTCTGATTCTTTTTAGTTGCTACATGAAAATTTTACATTGTTCAAATGCTATACTTTGAGTATATTTTATTTAATAATGGATGAAAGTTAATTTTTTTTTAAATATTGTTGAATTTGTCTCATTACAAATTTTCTTTATCTGATTGTCAAATATGTTTAGTAATAGAAAATTAAATATAGTGACGCTCAAAGTTATGCTGTTGCAAGCATGAAAATTGGAATGTTGCAACGAAAAAAGAACGGAAGAAGTATAGAGGAACAATATCTATTACTACCTTTGTTTTAGATGGAGGTAGGACGTTTTCTTTTCGACTGAAATTTGCTGGTCTAGTCTGGTCTGGTCTGGTAAACGTCTGGTCTCTGTGTACTCCGTATTTTATAACTACGGAAGTCTGGTGTGGTTTTGTTTGGTCTGGTCTGATCTGGTCTGGGACTGAAAACACTCCAAAAGAAAACATCCGTAGTCTAACATTAACCATAATAGTTTTATAAATTGTTCTATGACAACAGGGCCAGTCCTGTGTGTTTTCGGGCCTATGGGCGGGATAATATTTTGAGCTTATATTCAAGACAAATAATAAACTATATTTATTTAAAATAATAATTATAATAAAATTATCTAATAAAGGTCATTAAATAAAAACAAAACTCATTTTAATAATAATAATATTATTATTTAAATTACATATATGGTGAAACATAACAACACAAGTATCACATAAAAAGAAAAACATTACTTAAAAACATTTCTCACGGAATTTTCAAGATTCAATTTCTTAACAAAAACAAAATTTTCCATTGATCCCTGTTAACTTAACCCTATCTTTTCTAATCTTCATCTCTTTCACTCTCTATCCCAACCTGATTTCCATTTTTATCAAGAATAATTTATTGATCACGGTTGGATTGTTTGAAATCTTGAAAGAAGAAGTTTTTTGGTCACCGACCACTATTTGGGCTCCTCGATTGATTGGCTTCAATTCTTAACAAACCGTTGAGGCACTCACCGCTTTTTAGCGTTCTTTAAATTACTTTGGTTGATATTGGAATTTGGAAACAACAAATCAATTTGGATGGGCTTGTGAATGGGGAGTTTTGGACTTTGGAGGTCTAACATAACTTGGTAATTTTGTAATTAAAAGGATTATAAAACTTAGAGATCCGAAAAGAATTAAAAGAGGCATGCCACTTTATATTATTTTAAAAATTAAACCTTGAGCCAATTAATTGAGCTTAAAAATTAAAAAAGAAACTTTCTAAAATAAGAATGAATATATTTTGAAAATCAACATTAATTCCATCTGAATGAGTCATTAAAACTTTCTTCTGTTAATCCTATTGGGGGAATTATCTGCTCAAAACAGGACTGGCCGGGCGGGCAAGCAGAGAATAACAAAACAAAAAAGATGAAAAGTAGTACTAATAATATGCTCCTACCCCTTATCATCATGGTCGTCTTCTTCTTTCATCATCTCCAAGGAGTGGTTCCATCCTCTGATCTGGGAGCGGACAAAAAAGCACTGCTTCAGTTTGCAAAGAATATGGATGCTTTTCCGGGAGCAGGAAGCAGCCGGAAAGTGATGACGGGTTGGAGCATGAAGGCCCCAATTTGCACGTCCTGGGTCGGCGTGAATTGCAGCGGCAGCAGTTCCGATGGAAGCCGGCGGCGGGTAGTCGGAGTGAATCTGGGTGGTTTCGGAATTCAGGGCGCTATACCGGAGAAAACAATCGGGAGACTGGACGCTCTGGAAACACTGCACCTGGAAAACAACCGCATGACCGGAGCTATACCGGCGGACCTCACCGTCGGAAACCTCCCAAATCTGAAGCACTTGAATCTGAGCAACAACCGCTTCAATGGCCCCATCCCCTCATCTCTGTTCACACATTTTCCTGCTTCTTCATTTGCCAATAATTCTTTGCTCAGTGGACCCCCCATGAATCGTCATCAAATGACTACTTCCTCTTTGGTTTCTGTGCATCTCAATCCTCAGCAGCAGCCATCGCTTATTCGTTCAGTGGATCATTCTTCATCACAGACATACGCTGTCAAGAAAACCAAATTTAACCTGAAACGTTTTTTACTTGTCGTTGTGCTTCCAACAGTTGTTCTATTGAGTCTACTCATTATTTGGTTGTGCAAGCGTAAATGCAATTTGCTGGGCCGGCCCGAAGTAAAGTCCGAGAGCTCAACCTAGAGCCCTTGAAAAAGGAAGACTCACTTTTAATTCATTTGATGCACCATCAATAAGCTTCAAAATTGGGAAAACTGTCAAATAGGTCCTCGAACTTTCATAAAAAAGTCAATTAAGTCCTTCTATAGGAGACTTTGTCCGGTCATCGCGATTTGGGGCGGTTCCCGGTGGAATTTTTTGATGAAATTTTTTGAGCATCTTACTCATCAAGTCTAGTTTACTCATACCAAATTTCAGCTAAAAATTTAATCGGGAGCGCATTCAAATTAATTCGAGAATGCAAAAATGCGCAGTTATCGTCAAGAATTAATTTGAATGTGTCCCCGATTGAATTTTTAGCTGAAATTTGGTATGAGTAAACTAGACTTAGTGAATAAGATGTTCAAAAAATTTCATCAAAAAATTCCACCGGGAACTGCCCCAAATCGCGACGGCCGGACAGAACCTCCTATAGAAGGACTTAATTGACCTTTTTATGAAAGTTCGAGGACCTATTTGACTGTTTTCCCGCTTATATTCTTATTCTTATACTACGTGTATATTGTGGTTGTTATCTTATTCTCTTTGCTTAAAACTTGACTGTTTAATTTAGCTCTTTTTCTTATAACAAATTGTTGTGATTAATTAATTAATTAATTAATGCCAAAAGCTACAAACTTTCTCCGAGATGTTATGTGCTCTAACTTCTCAACAAAAAATCTTTTATTTTGATAAAAGCGTATATCCTAAAAATTATCATGTCAAACATATAACTAGCAGTTTTTAAAGTTTTTTTAAATTATACAAAAAGTTAGAAGGTAGGAGTTTGTATCTACCAAACATGCACTTATAACTCATACGTTTTGAAATTATGTAATTTAGGTAATTTGGCTTAATGGAAACGTAACATTGTATATCATTCTGAAACAGTTGCCTCTAAGATGTTGTAGAATGTTTTCACTTGGACTGTTTTTAGTCCCAAATCAGACTAGGCCAGACCAGACCAGTTCAAACTAGACCAGACCAGACTTAGATAAATATAAAATACACAGAGACCAGACATTAACTAGATCATAACAGCGCAGACCAGTTCAGGCTGGACTAACAAATTTCACTCCAAGTAAAAACATTTCACCTCACCAAATTATAGAATGGACAGTCTTTCGCTCTTAATTACTTTCTTACTTTTGTATTTATCAATCTACTTCACTTTTATCTATCTGCAAATATTTATCATATTTAACTTAAGGGAGATTTTTTAAAATAGGACTAAATAGGGTTTGAAATTCTAAAACAGAACTACTATGTTTTTCTTCCCGAAATAGGACTAAGATGACAATATTTCCTGTCATCTTTTTGTCATGACTGTCAAATAGTTGCACTCCTATGCATTCAACATAATAATAATTATTATAATTAATGATAGTATTTTCAATCATGTCAGTATTTTTCAATCATGACAGTAATGACTACTATTTTGAAAAAACATAATAGTTCTGTTTTAGAATTCCCAAAGTTGTTTACTCCTATTTAGGACAATTTCCCTTAACTTAATTATCAATACAAATATTTACGCAATATATAAATTTCAATGGTTAATTATACTATACATACTACGGAGTATTTTTTTCACTTATCAATTGTTCATCAATCAATCTTCAAATTCCAATTCTCACCATGAGTATCAATTGAGGATGAATCGAAGGGGTATTTCACATTAATGCATGAATCCTTTTTTTTAAGAAATCACCAATCAATTGAGTCCATTCCCACCACGTCACCAAGTCACCTGCTCACATCAGTGACTTCGCCGACATGACGCATACGTGGAAGTCTAGTCTGCCATTTACAGATGACATGTTGTGCAATTGGACCGTCACGTGTGTGCCACGTTAGCGGTGACAGGTAACCTGGCAATTGACTAAATTAAGCGTTTTTTTAAAAATACGGGGATTTAATTGATTTTTTAAAATATGAGGATCTAATTGACATTTTCATGAAAGTACGATGATCAAATTGACAATTAGCATAACATAAGAAGACAAATTAAAATTCACGCGCTTCCCCCAACCTGAACAAATGGCAAAATTTGAAGTCCCAAATTCGAAAAATAATTCCAAGGAAGCTCCATCCATTCTTTGGTCCTTGGAAGATGTATTGATCTTACACCTCTTCATCTTCAGCTCACTTGTGGCTTCGGGCCGGGGGCGCATATGAGGCCGAACAAATGGCTGTACACAGGCTTTCTGTATCAATGAGTTCGATTTAACAGGAAAACTAAAATAAGTATTAAAAAGATAGGAGTATATCTATATCTATCTAAGTTTATTATTGTAACTGTGATTAGTAAATGAAGGATTACAAGTAGAATCACCCTAGATTTTCTTTCGAATCCATACAAAGGGCGCTACTCTTAGTTTTCAAGTAGATTAAAATTGACGAAATGTAAATAAGTAAATAAGAAGGCAAATGTAATAAAAGGATTTTGATATTTCTTATAGGCATTTATTTAGAAAAAATTGAAGAAGAAAAAAACTATTAATAAAAAAACTATTTGGGGTCTACTTATACAAAGAGGAGCTAATTGCAGCCCTTAATTACATCATTAGACAAAGCTATCAATGCTATTCAAGTAATTAATGATTCAAGTTAACCGTTGTTGAGTGCCATTGCTCCTCACCTTCCGAACCCAATCGTTCAGTCTTCCACATTGCGATTATGACCAAGTACAGATGTATTAAGTCTGACATGTTTAAGTCTAATCTGGTCTCGTCTGTTTAAGTCTGGTCTGAGACTGAAAACAGTCCAACTAAAAACATCCCTAGTGACTTGGTGATTAATAATTCAGAATGGGTACGATTTTTTCAAAACAAGAATATATAATTTCAAAACATCCCTAGTAGGCATTTTTCTAGTATTACCTTCTCTCATGTGAAGCGTTCTGCGAACACGGTTGCTCATACTTTAGCTAGGACAGCGTGCTCCATGTCTGATCGATGTGTTTGGTATTTTAATCCGCCTGATTTTATTACTCATGTACTCCATCATGATATGATTAATGATAATTAAACCTTCTTCGCGCAAAAAAATAATTTCAAATGAAGGTAGTGCACAAAATTTTGAGTTCTTATACTTGTAACTATAATGTAATACAACATCGTAATTTAGAAATTATGATTATGTTGAATTCTATACTATAGTGACTATGACGTTATGTTCAACTTTAATCACATTTTTATCCATATGTTTTACCTTAGTAATATTCAAAGACATTTCTTTGATAGCAGGTTAAATACCACCCCTCCATGACTCCGTCCTGACTTAACTTTCTCACTTCTCTTTTAAACATTCTAGTTAAAGCTTCTAATTTCTACTTTCAGAATTATTTAGCACCATTAGAGGACAAATTAGTCATTAAATGTTTAAAATAATGTTACATACACATTAAAACTATTTCTCAAAGTATACTCGAATTATCTTGTTTAATTACTGTCTAGATGATCATGTCATTTTTCAATGAGAAACTTAAATCAGAATAAAAGTAATATCAACTAAAATAAAAACAAAATATATTTTTCAATCCAGCGGGGTATCCACTATCCACATATAGGGCGCAGGCAGCAGTGGCCGGAGGTCCGACGGCAGGCAGCGGTCCGGCAGTCCCTGGGCAGCAGTGATAAAGGATGTGAGGGGTAATTTGGTCCAATCACTAATAAAAAGTCCTATTTAAGGATGTTTAAACAAGATGGTCCTATTTGGGGAAAAAATCATGTTTGGTCCAGGTAAATCTCCCCAGCTTTTTACTGAAATCCTGATAAACTGCTACGAATCAGATCATGAGATCATTTGTCAAGCAACCACTTATTACAAGTTACGCATATATCATCTGTCACAAACTCGAGATATTTGATATGAGCAGTTTCCCCCACAAACTACAGAAATGATAAAACGCAGTGAAAGACCACCCTGTTTAGCTACTAAATTTGTCCCAGAAAAATCATTATGAACATCCACACATATTAACAGGAGAGATGGACTGATAGTCTATACTGTGAATCCATCTAACACATGAACTGAACCAGAATCAGTAGAATTCACGATCAGGGAAGATGAGAGGAGCGGTGAGTGACCAAATGTATAGAGCAGCAGTGACCCACTGGGTGCATATACGAACCCAAACCGAGGTCCAACCCACGTCTATAAGTTGAGAGCTCTCTGAACTGCTTGTCCACCCGGACAGAAGCATGGCGGAATACATGCTGGCCAGTGTGAATATGAGATGGAAGAATGAATATGAGTAACTCACTGGCCGTGCTTCCACTTCTCTTTTACCTTTACCACCTGACTCCACATCTTCATCAGTTTGAAGAAGTGGTCTCTTATCTACAGTAGTAATAACCACAAAATTTAGACCAAGCATCCATTAAATCACTGCAATATTGAAAAATAAAAGGCTGAACTATACTTTCTGTCCTTCGAAATATAGCATTTTACTTCTAAATCCCTGTGATTTGTTTGTTATATATTCCTTTAATTGATAACATTTTCCATATAATCCATCTCAATTCACATGTGTTAAAAAATTGACAAGGTTCGCGGAATACCTTCCAGCATGGGCCTTCCAAGCAAATTTTCGGAAGACATAAATATGAACATTATAAGGACCAAGGCAAAAAACGCTACTCCAAAGAGGAAGTTTCTCAGGTTGGATCCTTGATAAATCTACCGAAAATACTATATGAAAATCCGAGGATGGATTTCTTTGAGCCACACCTTAATCTTTATTAAGGAGATTGATGGAGGGGGAGATGTAAATTTCAAGGATGAATGGCAATTTATCTTCACATTCAACTAAACAAACTACCCCAACACAGATAATTGCATAGAAGAAAAACATATTTAAGCCAAAGAAAAATTACCAAGTTTGGCTACATTTGATGTACCGTTAAGGACCAAGGCACATTAATTGGCGTTTGGTTATGCTTTTAAAGTGATTTACTTTACTGATTATACAGAAAATGTTTAATAGTGAAGCTGGTACTGTTTGAATAAGTGCTTTTTAAAAGATAGAACTACGAGTGTGTGGTAAAAAGTTGATTTTGGCATATTATTTCAGTGACATACTAGAAAAAAATTGAAAAGCTTTTTTGTGAAACATTCTCCTTGCTTGTGCTTGAGCCTTGACATTAATCAAAATCACCTACTTAAAGATTAATTTTAGCTTTCTTTTAAATCAAAAGGAACACAAATGTGGTTCCAAAAAGCAATGGAAAACACACCCATACTCTAACGCCTAGGGATCCCACAAACAAAATAATTCAATAAATGGGGATTAGGTGAAATTTCATGCCTGTTTTGGGAGAAGATGGTGGTGAGAGAAAAGCAGTTGAAGAGCCAGCACGAAGAGCAGAATACAGAACTGAGAGAACAGTAGTAAGCATCCCAAGAATAAGAGTACTAATGGTAACTGCTTTTGATTTGTTGGGGAGGCCATTGCACACATAATCTCTAGGTTCACTAGAAAGACCCGTGTAGCACAGATAAGCACAGTATATAGATATCACGGAGGCAGGCAACAGGCTTCCATTTACCTTATCATCACAACTTTAAAGTCAAAATAACAAGGGAAATAGATTGGCAGTAATTATATAAAAGTGCAGTAAAACACATCTGCATTGAGATCGAACTTGCGAACAAATAGAACACAAATAACCCTAACCTTACTCCCATTTTGATCGCATAAATGCATATGAAGGTATAAATACACATATGAAGGGTACCCAAGTTTTAAAATGAAGGGTACCCAAGTTTTTAAATGAAGGGTACCCAAGTTTTTAAATGTGGTTAGTCACGAAGGAAACGTAGCTAAAACAAAAGCGTTTCTTACCCTTGGGTGTAAGGCGATGACAGCAAACACAAACGCAAGAATCATGGTCATAACAATGAAGAATACATTCAATCCACAGTCATTCCCGGAAGGATTGAACCAAATAAATAGTATGCCTGAAAAGGCATATGTTGCTAGGTAGCAAGCAACAGATACAACTAGTAAAGCGATATACCTGTGGAAATATCTTGCATTGTACAATATTATTGATTAATAACATATTGTGATACGATTATTAATAAAAGAAGATAAAACTCAAACTAACTGACCACTTCCGCTCATCTTTGGCTACCCATGCATCATTCCATGAGAGTGTGGCATCCAATAAAAGTATTACTTGAATTACAAGAAATAGTCCAGCACCAAACTTTGAAATGATTGCTGCACAAATAGAAAGAATGGAGCATATGTAAGGCAAAATCCTCATTTCGTGTGTTTGATTAAGAATGACTACCCAACATAAAATTCTTACGATGTAAACAAAAGTAGAAAACACATGAAATGGTACCGCCATATAGGATCATTTTTTATTCTGCCGCACTTGTTGAACATACATAAAATACAACATACGGAGTCTAAGGTTGTGGGTTACTCATTGGCTCCTCCTATATGATTGAGCTTTTAGGAAAGAACCTCAAGTCAATGAAGTCGTAATTAGGTATTGTATTACTTATAGTGGTGAATGAGTGCGTCTAAGTGAACAACTTTTTTGGATTCAAGACCACTTCTTATGCAAAATTTTACATAAATATATCTAATGGTTGTGGAACGAATGCCCAAAATGTTACCCAATGGATCCGATGGGGCGAATACATCACTATGGAATGATGAAATGGTCTCGCAAATACAAGCATAACTGACCGTAAAAATTAATCATGGCGTTTGGGAGGAAAAACATGAGAATAAGGAGCACAACCCAAACAGCAAACTTTAAAACCCATCCACCATGATGCACTGAATCACGCCTATCATTTTGATCTTTCACCCCAATCATAATGAGAGAAAGAACTCCAAAAAACAAAAAGTTCCCCAAGCTAACGCGAAGCACTGCTTGCATTTGATACCACTCATCATGGTGACTGTGTGAATTGCTTATCCCTGCAAATTTCATCCAAAAGATATTAAAACAACCACTACCTTATCTCGGGCAATAGAGTGAAAAATAACAAATTAATTTCATAAGGTTTTTAGTAAAAAAATGAAATCTGATCCATAAGTTGTAGGTTTAATCTCATAGGAGTAGCCCAAAATGGAAAAATCTTACATATTAATTTACTGAGTATTAGACTGGACAAAGTTGTTTAGGACAAAATACTTGACAGTTGGCAATTTGACATTTAATTTGACTTAACATCCAGCTAAAATGATACAACTTGGGCCACTTGGTAAGAGTTAATTTAGTTGAAATGACTAAATCTGCCTGAATTTCTGAAGAGAAAAAAGTTTGATAACACCATTTCATCCAAACAGGTAAGTAAAAAAGGTTATTGATCAGACTCAGTTTTCCCGTAAAAAAGGATATTATTAAACTATGAAGCACGGAAACTCTATGCACCTCACATTTCCCCGTTTCACAAACTCGGAAGCGTGTCGAAAACTCAGAAACATCGAATTCCCGTTTTAGGGCCGTTTCCGTAATTAAGAAGAAGTGGGAAACCCATTTTCCTAAATACGTAGTGTCTGGGAAACCTTGTTTTTCTATTTCTTTTTCATTTTTCAGAGATTCTCTGATGGAAAGAGGTGTCTTTTTGTGAAAAAATTAGAGAACTTTTGTGGTATTTCTTCCTAACAACATTGTGACATTTCATAACTCAATGCATTGCTAAAAGTGCTTTGCATTTTATGTTTCACTATGAGCTACTCCGTAATATGTAATGATTTCTAAATTTGAGCGTCTATAATGTTTTTATTATTGGGTCATTAAACAAGTTATGTAAAAGGTATATGAAAAAAATTATGTGCTACTTAGCTGGAAAAAAATAAGCAAAATAAGTGGAAGTGTAATACAAAACAGAGCTTAATTCAACAAGCAAGAGAGGTAAAAGTTGAACCTGGAAATACTTAAGCTTATTACTTTCTTAGGTTAGGAGCGTTAAGTAAAAGAAGTCTAATCCATGACCTTGGACAATCAATTTGACTAAAAATCCAACTAGGATTTTTATACTAAGAGGTTTAATCCCTAATTCAATAACTATTCAAATGAACAATCAGGGGGAATTGGAAGGAAAAGAAAGATACGAACATGAGAAATTCTTGAGGAGGGGAGCCGCGAATTCACGGAGAAGCCAAGAGACAACCAAGGAGAATCCGAAGATGAGACAGTAGCCGAGCCTAGCAGAGCGGCTGCTGATCACAGACGCCACCGAGGTGCAAAGACCGCAGGTCAAAGAAGCAAAGCAAGATGCCAAACACGACATAGTGGTGAAGTTCTGGTGGAGGAGAGATCAGCTTATCAAAACTGGTTCTGAGAAGAAAATTGGAAATCATACTACGAGGATGCCAATTTTTTGGGCCAATGAAGATTCGGGAAGAAATGAATAGTAGTGGTCCCTCCACTCACCTCGGACAAGTTGAGTTTTTGTCCCAGGTGAGCCGCGAATTCACGGCTCACCTGGGAAGAAATGAATAGTAGTGGTCCCTCCACTCACCTCGGACACGTGAACCAATCAAAATGTTGCAGTTTAATTATTTAAATATAAATTAAAAATGATTTAATGATTTGGACCAATAATGTGAGTGGTCCCTCCACTCACCTCGGACAAGTTGAGTTTTAAATATAAATTACCTGGGAATTTAAGTTGAGTGGTCCCTCCACTCACCTGGGAAGAAATGAATAGTAGTGGTCCCTCCACTCACCTCGGACACGTGAACCAATCAAAATGTTGCAGTTTAATTATTTAAATATAAATTAAAAATGATTTAATGATTTGGACCAATAACGTGAACCAATTTTTTGGGCCAATGAAGATTCGGGAAGAAATGAATAGTAGTGGTCCCTCCACTCACCTCGGACAAGTTGAGTTTTTGTCCGAGGTGAGCCGCGAATTCACGGCTCACCTCGGAAGAAATGAATAGTAGTGGTCCCTCCACTCACCTCGGACACGTGAACCAATCAAAATGTTGCAGTTTAATTATTTAAATATAAATTAAAAATGATTTAATGATTTGGACCAATAATGTGAGTGGTAGGTACGGCACCCCATTTTTTAAGTGGGTACCGGAGTTGTCACTTTTTGCCAATGTTGGAGATTGTTTGGATTGTTTTTATTTTTTAAGAGAGCAGAAGCATAAAAGTGATTAAGTACTTAGGGCATCCCCATTCATAGATTATTTTTGGAATCATTTTGTTGATATGGAGGATTTTTTTTGGGATCATGGATGAGGAGTTGATATTATTTTACAAAATTATTTGATAAAAAAATCTGGTAACAAATTCTAAAGCTGGATTATTTTGAAATTATTTCCAACTTTTAAACTCCTGTCTCCATTTTCTAGGCATATACTCATAATTAATGTGATGACTAGCTTTGTAGAGATTTTGAAATTGAGTGCGTGTCTCATAAAAAATCTAGGTAAATTAAGATCATGGATGAGGAGAAATTGATATGTTTTGAGATTATTTGAGATAATCTTATGTGGAAGTGACATGACAATAAGAAACCATAAAAACCGTAAACTTGAGTATCATGAATGAAGATGCTCTTATGAAACTGATTCCGATTATGTTTCTACTTAAAAAAAGAAGCAGAAGCGAAAACATTTTCAAACACTCCCTTAGTCCCTGATTATTGTGTCATTAACATTTTTGATACTCGACTTTAAATATTTGCATTTTTAGTCTTTGACTTTTGTACTAGAGAAACTTTTAGTCCCCGATTCCAAAATTTTTCACATTAAATACTCTTAGTATTATCAAATTGACATTTTTAGTTCTTCCACCATAATTTTGACACAATATGTACTAGAGGACTAAAAACTTCACTATTATAATAGTTGATGGACCAAAAATGCATTTCTATAAAAGTCGATGTTGGAGCTTTATATGGTGTCCAATCTAGTTAAATAACTTTGTATTTGTGTAGCTATTAATTTAGATGTGTAATATGGGTCACAAATGCATTTTAGCCCATTAGAACCTTTATAAGCCTTAAGTTAGACATCCTTATGTATAAAAGGAAGCCCACATGTATCTATGAAATAGACTAGCGCATATATCATTTAGTGAGAGAGAGACGCCGTTTTGTATTTCGATACCCTATTCTGAATTTCAAAATCTTTCATGGTATTGAATCAAAGTTATTTCTTCTCTACTCTATCATATTCCGTTAGTTTGATTGTTGAATACAGGGACAACAGTCGAAGGACTAAATATGAAAATTTTCAAAAGATGGGTATCAAAAGTGTCTCTAGCACAATAGTTGGGGACGAAAAATGGAAAAACTAAAGTCGGGTATCAAAAATGTCGGTGACATATTGGTTAAAGGACTAAAAGTGGCAAAAATTCGTTGAAAGTTGATATGATTATTAAAAAAATTGAATTGGTGTGATTTTATAATAAATTAAGATCAAAATAAGAATGATTTTAGAATAGAACTATACTAGTTTTGATTTGATAAAATAATATGGAAAAATGGTCAAATAAGTCCTTCTACTATTTCTAATATGTCACTTAAGCCCCTATACTAAAAAAAAAGTATCATATAAGTTCGTCTACTTTTAAAATACAATCAACCAAGTCCTTTGACCTGCTATAGTAGGTATTTTTTTTAAAATTCAATTAGGAATATTGATAAATCTTACAAAAATTCATATAAATTCGAAAAAATAATCTAATAATGATATTCAAATAGTATGAATATGAAAATAGATAAAATTTTAAAAACATTAAAGTAATAAATTAAAAAAATAAAAACTCAAAAAATAATGTGAAAATAAAAAAAGAAAAATCAAAAACTTTAAAAACCTTTTAAACAGATGTCGAATATAAAAATAATTTTAAAAATTAAAAAATATTGACTTTGATATTCTGAAAAGTATAACGATTTTTGTATTAAAACTTGCTATTACAGGTCAAAAGCTGATTAAATGGTCAAATTGATCCATTTTGTAAAGTAGGTGTACTTATATGATACTTTTTTAGTACAGGGGCTTAAGTGACGGTTTGGAAATAGTACAAGGGCTTATCTGAAACTTTTTCCAAAATAATAATAAAGTAAGAATGATTTTAAAAACACTCAAATTTTACCAAATTTGGTATGAAACAATATTAAAGGATAGAATGAAAATAAAAGATGAGAAAATCATAGAAAGAAAGAGGTAGTATTTTTTAAAAATCATTTTTATAAAAAATATGAGATTCTTTGTAGTGCTTGGATCGAGTTTGTTTCTACTCTTCTATCACCTATCTTTGTTTCATTTTATCTTTTTTTTATCGTTTCATGCATTAAGTTCATTTAGTCGATTACAATTCATTATTATTTTATTCATACTTTACAAATTCAATACCAACTACATAATTCTATTTTTCGTAAATTACATGCTCTTGCCCTAATCTTACAGGAGCAGAGGTAAATACTTCTTTTTCAAAAGTTAAAATGTTTCTAAGAAGTTGATCTCTATAATTTTTCAAAAATTGCTTTTAGGAACAATTCATATAATATCACTTAGAGCCCGTTTGGTAGCACCAAAATCGGCTGTTTTGGCTGAATCTGCTGAAATTTATGATATTCTGGCTGGAGTGGCTGTTTTGGCTGATTCTGCTGATTTAAGAAAAAAATATTTTAAAAATATATTTTATTAATAAATTAAAGAAAAAATTATATGTAAAAATAGCTAAAATGCTTCTCTACAGTAACTTCAGCCAATACAGCCAGAAAAGTAATTCCAACCTTACTTTTTCGGCTTATTACACAATTCAGCGCGCGAAAGTAAAAGTTACGTGTTTGGTGAAAAAGCTGACTGATAAGCCTGATAAGCCGAAAACAGAGTTCTCCAAACGGGCTCTTAGAAGTGTTTGTGCACTTTCTTCTAAACATGTTAATATTTATATCCGAAATAGTAGATCCAAATGTTCTTTATTTATTTAGTTTTTTTGTTCCATCATTATGTGGCCCTCTCCGATAATATATACTCCCTCCGTCCCTTTTTAAATGTCCCGTTTTACCATATTGGGATGTCCCTATTTAATTGCCTCATACCTTATTTGGTAAACTTTGTGTGGCTCAAAATCATTCTTACTTTATTCTTACTTTATCAATTAATATCAACCACACAAACTCACTTTTCTTAAAACCCGTGCCACCATCTCCCGTCCCATTTAAAAGGGGACGGAGGGAGTATCACTTTATTTCATTTTTCTTTTCCTATATTTTAACGATTCAACATTGTTTAAAAAATTACTCCGTAGTATGTGAATAATTTTTTTTGCAAGAATTATGTGAATAATTTTATTGCTTCATAATGTCATATTCCCTCCGTTTCAAAACAATTTGGCAAATTGACACTTTTTGTCCATGATATTCAAGTTTGACCAATGATATTTTTTAAAACAAAATCATTTTGAATATTAAAATTATATTAAAAGTACTCTTTATCATTGATCAAGAAAATTTAATATGACATATCTTTTTAATTACTCAAATCTTATGAGATCTGCCATTTTCATATTGAATAAGATATAAAACCTCATTCATATAAAAAAACATTTCATACAATGGTTTTAAATATGTAATTGTTTGTCATCTCCCTTTGTTTTTTATCATATCTCCAGGGATGGATCCAGGATTTCGAGTCAAGGGGGGCGAAAATTGTTTCATTAGTGTAGGGGCTGAAAAAATTTCCGCTAGTGTAGCAGGGTGAAAAATTTTCGCTAGTGTAGCGGGGTAATTTTTTCTCTAGTGTAGGATTCTGCGGCTAATTTTTGTTCAAAAAATTCCACGAGTAAATACACGATGACATTTAAATCTACTATATTTCATTCTAATTTAGGACAATGGAAAAATAACTTTGATTTAATAATTGTTAGTGCTCTAGAAAATTATTTGAAAATAAGAAAAGATATAACATTTTATCAAATTATTTGAGGGTACAGGGTTTAAAAGGTACACATAGACAGATGCTTTTTAAATAATTTCTGATTTGTTTAACCACATGAATCTTATCAGAATAAAGAATTGTCTTTTGAATTGCATTTTTTGTCTACGAAGGAGGGTATTCATGGATCACGTGGAGTTTTCTTAATATTACAATAGTATGTATGAGATTATTAGTTTTAGAATAATATGATACGTAGTTTTGTTAATTCATATATACATGGTGCATATTATATATGTATTAATGCTAAAATAAGTTAAAGTTTATTATCTATGCAACGATTTTTTTTACATAGTAAGAAGTAAATTGATTGTCTAATTTAGTGTCAACAAACATTTATATCTTAGATTCACTTTACATCATCTAAAAACTGTTCAACTATTGTGTTTAATATTTAATATCAATGATATTTTACAAAATTGAGTACTAATTATCTAATAAAGATAATCAAATACATTACAAAACTAAGAATTTTGATATAATATGTAT